TAACTGAACAGCTTCCACCTTTTTATAAAAATAACGCCTTTGCGTCTACGGGCAGGACTAAGGTCGTCCACGAACTCTTTCCTGAAGAAGGTGGCCTCCTTCCAGAAGACGCGCATCATTGGGTGCAATTTGCCCTGTGCGATTTGAGCCTCGTATGCAGTATTTGCGTTGACGGGTAGAATGGCAAGGGAAAATTTGTCTCGTACCCCAAGGTGCATGAGCTCTGAGAGGCGCGAGCCAGAGCGTGCAATTCAGAATGTGCAAAGGGCGTGAAATGATCAAGTTGGATTTTCGTAAAAAAGACCTACGTTTGGGACTGTTTGTGAAGCCCCGCAGATCTACCTAAACAGATCTGTTTATTCAATTGATTTTTTTTAACATTTGAAAAGCATTCTTTAGTTGTTGTATGTTTTTATTTCATTTTTTCTCAAGTGTCCGTTTTGGGGGGCAACAACTTTCTTATAACTTCTCTTTAACTTTGATTCTCTTTCAGCGATTGGCTAAACGTGTGATGACGCAACCACTCGTGCCGTAAAATACTCGATTATGAACAATTTCTCGCCACAGAAAAGGGCGTTTATAATGTTGGTATACAAAACAATACTTTACAATGAGTTTTTATGAAATAAATGGTAGAAAAACTATTTCACGCGCGTTCCGTCACCGCCAAGAACACAGCGTTCGTCCACCAAAAGCCCGGTCCCTCGTCCTGGACCCAAAGGCAGCTGTCGAATCTCCTCTCCCATCCCGCAGGAATCGATCATTTCTTCCCCTCCCTCCTTTTTTCTGGAGCTCGTTTCCTCCCCATTCTTTCTTCGGACGGGGTCTGAGCGCAATTTCGCGTCTTTGTCTCCGACCGCGCGCCGCGCCACCACCGCCCCGGCTCGGCTCCCCAGGCCCTCCGCTTCCGGCGAAATACCCTGTCCCCCCTCGCCCTCTCACCAAGGCCCCGCACTAGGGCGCCCTCTGCCCACTTGCCTCTCAGCTGGTGCGCGAACACAGCGCGTGGCAAAAGCACTTTGGAGTTATGGGTGGCGGCCGCGATGCAAATAGTCTGGAGTAGGAGCTATGGGGTGCGGTGGGTTGCAGGTATGCCCGAACTATCACATGCATTTCGCCTCTTCCAAATATTTCTTGAACGACGAAAACTATGACGTATAGTGTACAACCGATTTACACGCATCGGGATTTTTATCATTGTCTACGACAACTTATGTTGATAACGAAAGGTTCAATTGTGCTTATGCTAAAATAAGAGGTTCAAAAAAATATTTCCAGCCAACAAAACAGTAATTTTCGAAATCACATGAAAGGGTCGGTATTCTTGGCTTAGTTAATAGGCGCGGACTCGACCGAACAATACCCTAATAGCTGCATGCTGCCCCCACCCAACTTTCAGTACCCCCATTCTTCCTCAAGCGCCCATTGCCTTTCAAGTCCCAGCTACGGATGGACTCGCGATAGTCCCTGAAGCCGCGACGGGGGCGGCGATGATGGAGAAGGTGGAGGCGGTGACAGTGGGGGCAGCGGGGGCAGTGGGGGCCGCCGGGACCGCGGTGGCGGAGGAGGCGGCGCGCCAGCGCGAGAGAGGGCTCCTCTTGAAATTTTAATTCGGGCTCCGCGCAGCCACCGCCGCCGCCGCGGGCGCCGCGTCGCTTTGATTAATATCTCTCAGACAGCAATTAGCCAACGCTGCCCTCTGCGCCGCTGTCTCTCCGCCGCCGCCGGTCGATTTCCATGTGTAATATCACCTTCGGATGGACCGGCAGTGCGTGGAGCAGCGAGTTCGCGGCGACTCAACCTAGCCAGATGGACAGTGCACTTCCCTTCTTCGTTGGATCGTTGGGACGGATCGTTCACGTGATGTCCCCATATATATTCCAGGTTAATGCTGAAGTAGTAACTTACATATCAACTCGGCGATTATTTTACCCATATATTTTGGTGATGCTACGGACTAATACTCATCTCCTCAAGACCACGTCCACATTAAAAGCTCAAAACAAAGTTATCTGAAGCTGGCCTAAATAGCCAAGGTCGCTGAGGCTAAGGCCGTATTTGCCTCGGCTCGAAGAGTCACGGTTTCGAATCCCACCTCGAGAATGGATGTTATGAGTGTTCTTATTGTCCTTATATGTTGTGTTCTCCTTACAGTTATCTCAAAGTGAACAATGAAAGTGGTAGCTACATGATCTAGTAGTTAAAAAGATACCTAAACAACGTTTTCTGAATATATGAACAATGACCAGAAACAGGGAAATTTCTTATTCTGAATAACTGACTATTTTACACGTTGAAACTGTAATGTTTTTTAACTACTATATTAGAAACTATTTAGGAGACCATCATTTCTGTATAGTCTCTGCTCCTTGTCAGCGAGTGTGCTGTTCTCTCCCTATTTGCGGGCACGAAAGCTAGTCGCTCGCTACGAATGAGCAGAGAAGAGCATGTTCGACGGCGCGTGCTCAGCAGCGATCAGGCGACACAAGAGTGAGTTAAGAAAGATCTGGAAAATGCGCTTAATACCTAGGTGCATTTGCACCAAGGAACAACTTGGTGCATTTTCAAATAATTAATATTAGTTTTTGTATAAATATATAATTTGATTGCAAAATAAAATAAAAGAAAGTACCAGTGATGTATAAATCCGCACCTTCAGAATATAACAAAATAATATCTCATACTTAAACGTTATGTGACTGCACTAAGGATGGGAAGCTCACAAAATTTACAAGGTATCACCGTAATGGATCTGGGTTTGTAATTGCTTGTCGCTCTAGTGCCGTGTTGCACTCTTCAGAGGAACAAATCAGTTTCTATTTTGTTTGGATAGCGCGTGACGTTTTCGTTACAATGTTACTTAATTTCAGTTCTTCGATTTAGTTCATGAAAAGCTTAAGTGCTATTTAAACTCGCATCCGAGTAGCCGAGACTTGTAAGTGTACGTTGCCAACAGAAAGTCGTTTTGTCCGTTTTTGAGACTCCAAGAGCAACTGACAGGTTTAGAACTAGTTTGATCAACGCGAGGAAAATGAACGCTATAAATCAAGCATGCCACGAATAAAAATACAACATTTAAAAAGAAAACAACCCATGCATTACCAGCCTGTAAACTCATCTTGAAAAAATCAGATATCCTCATTCTTTAAAATAAATGCCCTCTTTGAAGTGAAACATTATTTGTGGTAGATATGTTTTAATTTTTTTAATCACAAGTATTTCTCATCACTTGAGATTAACCAATCTTTCTTTGAAAGAGCCTTACTCAGTTATAACACGAATAAATTATTTATTTATTATTAGTTTCAATAATTCTAGAGATAACGGGGAGAATTGCCAAATAGTGATGGTAGATTTGTTAAAAAAAGGTGAATAATGATGTCGCTAGGGAGAGAAATCCTTAGAGATCTGCACCTCATTTCTGATAATTACTCATGCATAATTCTAAACGCGAGCCGACACCTGCTTTTCAGTAAACAAAAGTATATTTTTTATCAATTAAAATGCATTGTTACTCAGTAACATGATCATAATTTGGATTTCTTTACGACAGCGGAATATATTCTCCGAGCGTAATTGCGGCCAACAATGTCACGGGAATGTGAAAATTATTTATATTTTTTATTACTAGTCACATTTAATGTGTCCGTCAAATTAAAAACAGTATCAATAATATGAGAACTAGTGTAATTAGTTTTTTTATTGTGTTGTACGTCCCAGAGAATGTTTTTATGAGTTGTTGAATTAATCTCAGGAAAATAAAGTTTATGAAAATTGTTGTAGTGCACAACAGAAAAACAAAGCGTTTCTGAAATAGTGACATTGATGACTTATATAGAGCGTCAGGAAAATATTGGTTTACGAGGTTTTCAGGTGAGTATTGTAAATTTTGACGCATGCTGAAACATATACCTGTGGCAATTTGCAGGATAAACTGTTAAACATTTTAAAGAAAAAATATCCAAAGATTAATATTAATTACGCTGCCCTAGACCTCCTTGGTGAGCGACTTTAAAATTTGATATGGAATATCACACGGATTAAAATTTGGAATACAAATGAGCATTGTATCTTGAACATGTTTCATAATTTCCATAGGTTCGTTGCCAAAAGTGCAAATATAACTTTATAATTTTTGTAATTTTGTTTTCGTTTGTGGTTGATCTCTAAATAAGAGTGTAACTGACTGTTTCTTTTTTTGCTTCAGAAGTTCCAACAGAAGTCAAACAATTATATTGGGTTTCCCTGAGACATTACTGTATTGTCTTGTCGAGATCGGAGCTAGTCGTTTCGCGCGGAGAACTCCAAGTTTGACGTAGATTTTATTGATCCATGTTGGGAAAAGTGCATTGGGACAATGCCCATCGATCATCTCTAAGGATGAGAAGAAATGCTCCATGAGAAAGGAAGGATTCCAGGCGGTACATTGCTCGTTGTTTAAGGTGCATCTCCATCATTCGCCTTCTAGACGAAGTAGAGAGAATCTTGGTCGTGAATGACAAGATCTGCATCGCTCTAAAGTTCTCATTTGTTTTAGGGTCGGCTATGAACTAGTTATTTAGCAGGTTTCCAAGGTCATAGGTTCTCGATCTCAAGACCTCCGGTCAATGAAGCTTCATTGCTGACTCGCAGACGAAGTAAATTTAATAATACGAAGAAAAAAACGCTAATAGTTAAGCAAATACGTATGTATGTTAGGTGTAGAGTTTTGGAAGATTTCAATATCACAGGGGCAGAGTTTCTGTATCGATTTGCATGTAAAGCTTGTATGTGTTAATTCGAAGCCATGTACACGTACTCGTGATTTTCTTACTAATTCATTTTCAATAATCTCATTAAAATGTGGACTGAAAATGTTTCATCAGGCCTATGAAGCATTGCGTTTGCTAGTTGTCCTAACTATTAGCAACGTGAAAACTAATATTCATTCTGGTATAAAACCATGGGTAACACAAATGCCATTTTCATTCCTAAATCAATCTTTAAGTTGTACTTATTAGTTATTATAAGGTAACAGTTTGATGATAGTATTTACGTTACATGATTTCATTTAAATGTAGCTCCTTGCGCTGTAAAATTTGAATTTACCAGTTCAACAAAATACTTGTGATGTTCTTTTGTACTGGTGTCTGATGTTGATATAGCAACTTGTGAATTAATTACATTTGATGTGATGACTCACTTCAGTAAGCAGTATAATCTGATAGTAAAATAGTGGTATTAATAAAGTTAATGAAGAAATGTGATTTAGTAACTGGTATTTTGTTCATTTATGAAATTATATTATAATCTCTAGTAAGTTAATTATTTAAATCTTTGAAGTCTTTAAAATATGATGAAATTCATCATAAAATTCAAGATAAATATCATGTTAACATTGCCCAAAATAACCTGATTCAACAATCAGTAACGTGTCCTGATAATCACAAACTTCCAACACAACAAAGAATTGCAGTTAGACTCCACAGAACACCAAAAACACACCACTCCATCCACTTCTATCATATCCTCCCTCATAATACTCGCATCACTCATTTTATACTCTGGAAAAATGTCCCCTCTCAGACCTCGAATCAAAAGCCAACTTCCATTCCACATTTTGCTCATCAAATTTGCTGACCAAAGGTGGTTTTAATGGTTTGCCGTTAAAATTACTCAACCTGTATAGATTTAATTGAAATATTGTACTGACAATTAGACTAAGCCTTCTATACTTATGTATAGTTCTGTGGGACACTGTTCTATTTATCTCCAATTAAAACAATAAACGAAAACCGTAAGCGTGGGCAATCACGATTTAAGATTTGTTAAGATTAAAACTAATAACAATCATGTAAGCTGTGTACCTACGTATAATTAATGTTCTCTTCAAGAGTAAGAAACACGGGACTTCATCTGGAAATGTTAATGCATGAATAGACGCTGAAAAACCTACTTCTTCTGCGGATACATTCTGTTACTGTTTCGGAGACAGCAGCGGTCCATCGCGTATCGGCAGCTGTGCGCCGGCCGCAAAGGTCGAGCGACCGGATGGAATCGATACTCGGCTGCTGAAAGTGGAGCGGAAGCCAGCGGCGCGGTGGTGGCGGTGGCGGAGGCGGAGGAATACAGGGCGGGATGTCCGTCAGACGGCGATGTGGGAAGCCTTGAAGGTAGACTTGTACATCGCAGAAGTTGTGTGAGCAAGTAGGACTGATTTGTGTTTAGTCCATGACTAGGGTGAACAAAATTCAGGATCCTGCATAAACATTCAAGAGAATGCCAATAGCAGTTCAAACAACTTCCCAGTCGAGCCAACTCAAGTTATGTGCATTGGATTAAGTAATGAATTCGCTAAATATTTTTTTAAGTCGTCGTGAGCGAAACGCGGTTTGTCGTACTTGTTTTCCGTGTGCGAATGATTAATTTTTTCGCAGTATGAGAAACATCTGTAAGGATTCGCAATTGTCTTTCGTCATGACGACGTCTTCGTTTATTATTTACAAACAATAGTGTTACGACACTCACTGGAATCCATTTACTTTTGTACAAATTAGGCATTTCTAGTTATTTGATTTTTAATTTATATTCCTTTACTTGACACATTGCGTTTTGCTGACGGTGTATTAAAAAATAGTATACGCAACATGGGCGCAATAAATTTGGTAAACACAGAGTTATTCAAAATGATTGTCAGGGTTTCGTGATTTGTTTTTAGACAATGAAAGTAAATACTATTATTATAGTTTCTGCGGTTGATAGACAAACTCTGGAAGTTTCGTTATGCAACGACTGTAGTCACCTCAGTTAACGTCAGATGGCAGTTTGAACAGAGTTTAAAACTGGCAGTGAGCGTTAGGAAGAAAGCGTTTTGTACTGTTGAGTATCATCAACATCAATCCATTACCATAGTTCAGCTTCATTTTTGAACGAATAACGAAAATAACCTTCCTTCCGACAATTCCATTCGCCGAGAGTACGCTCAATCTGTGAATACGGGCTGTTTGTGTGAAGGGCGAAGCAGTGGACATCCCGATGTGCTAGAAGTGGAAGTAAATCGGATCAGGGAAACTTATCTTCGTCGTCCTAAGCAATCGACTACAAAAGGCAGCAGGGAGCTGATTACTGAATGGTTGTTACCTCACTCAAAGATGCCACGAACGATTTCCGGGACTGAAGCAACGCATCAGAGCAGTACCAAAGTATCACTGGTTAGATGTTGGAGTTTGGTTGCGTTTGGGAAGAAATGGACGTGTGTCGAGTGACTAAGGGCGCCAATATTGAGTATTTGTAATGTTTGTACAAAAACCTTTGAGTTCACAGTTGATTTCCAGTTCACAATACAATTAGGTTCATATTTTTAAGTCAATTACCGCGAGTATTATGATTTGAAACCCTCTCGGTCACTTTGAATAACCCTGTTTAACAAGGATATATCTTTGAAAATTCGATTTTGATTTAACTGCTGATTTTCTTGGAAAGGAAGGCAAAATTTGTCAGTTGTCCAAGAGACGTGCTTGTTATTAGTAAGTAGAGCAGAAATAGGGGGATATTTGTCAACATTGAACTACAATACATTGCAGTATTAAATGGTGCCAGGAATACAGTTTCATTCACTGCGTACATCTTTTATCTTGGCTACCTTTTCTTTCCTGATGTTTCTGATGTTAAACATTACGCACCACTTAAAACTCCCTGATACCTACCAAAAATAGACAAATTCAATGGGAAGACTTGTTCAACTTTGGAAATGCTTTCACCATGTTACAGTTTTCTCTATTTGGAATCAAATTATCAACTCGCTACAATAATCCTCAACATTCGTGAATTCTTTATTTGCGAGTTAGAGAAATGCTACCAGTTTTGACATTCGCGACTTAAACATTCGCTAGTGCATCTTTTACTCGAACAATATTTTTCTTGAAGAAAAAAGCGGATTTAAATTTCATCAAAAGCTTTATTTGGGAATCGTGCACAAAGCATTAGGTTTTGCAAAAACATCCAATTTCAGGTTAATAGATAATCACATCTGTAAAGTAATTCAATTCATTTTAGCCAAATTGGAGATAAGAGCTTTGACGATATGAACAGATTATCACTTCAGGATCTGTGTAACTCTTTCCTCACTGAAGAGGCACTTCGGAAAATCATCAGTAAATGAAACATCCTCCAAAGTGGTGATAAAGTAACGGAAGCGTAACTGCGTTCTTGAGCAACTACAATATCAAAACTGTTAATGACAGTCAAGAACTTGAACACGCACGTAGAAAGGGCACAAGATTGTGATTCGAACTTGGAAATTACTTTGGAATTTAAGAGAGAAAGCCTCTCTTCCAGATTTGGAGATTAAGTCAATGAGGAGGTCGATAAAACTAACAAAAATAACCAATACCATGTCCTTGTTCATTCATTTTCATCTTTGAAATAACACTTAAATATTGTTTTATTTCTTCTCTGTGGGTTGTTAATTGTGCATTCTGTGCGTTGCTCTCTCTGTTCTACTGCAATTGTCAAATTTTTCCATAACTTTTTTAACAGTTTTTCGATATCCAGGAACCTTACCCATCTTTCTTCATTGAAAGATAGACTCAACATTCACGAATTTAGCAATCGCGATGCTTTTTGTGAACCTAACACTCGCGAATGCTGAGGGATTACTGTATATGTATTGATGTGTACGTTTTTGTCCTTGCATTTTTCAATTTCGATACTTCTAATACCAATTATAATTGGTTTAATTATAATAGATTTCGTCGTGATAATTATTCACGAAATCTACAAGGAAAATATGTATGCAAATAGAATGTATGTGCAATATCCACATACATTGAAGGTATTCCATTGCAACACGTCTCCTCACCGCATTACCCCGCGCCGCTGACATTATGGAAATAGGCGCGCGGGAATAAGACGGGGCTGGCAGAAGGGGCGCGGGGTATTTACACCCCTGCGCTCGCCGCCGCCCCTAAAGCACGCGTAAGCCGTCGCGTCTCGGAAGAGC